TCGCCAACTATACCCTTCAATAGGAACTCGAACAGCTCAAATCCAGAGGATTCTGAAAATGGCCTGGCTCCCTATATGAACCCTGGAAGACTGGGAAGCGAAGAGGTGGAAACAGCTGGGAGGTCTTGAACTTTTAAGTAAACAAAAGGCCACATTCAAGCAGCAGAAGGACAATGTGCATCCTCTGCTCCCGCTTCGCAGACCTTCATTTTTAAGGTGGCCTGAACAGAGTGTTTTAGGGCAGCAAACCCTGGTCTCAGGCCACCTTGAATATTGCTTGAAAAACTGGTCTGCCTTTAAAGAAGTTGGTAAGTTGATTTCGAACAATATTGCATAGGTGCTGACTAGGTGCTGACAGACAGGCAAACCCTCGTTACTCCACTCCACCACTAATAAGGTTGAAGTTGATAAGTTTTAGTTGTTATTCAGAAGCCTCGATCCTAATAGCAATGGCCTCATTTGCAAAGAGTCAGATTTAATAGCTGGAACCCTGAGGTGAACACCATCTTGGATGGTCTGTGGCTGTTGGAACAGATAAATATCAAGTAGTCACGACGTACAGCATCACTTGGTGGGCCTGGCAATCAGAAAAAATATTTGATGTTTTTAAGGAAAACTGTGATCTACCAAGTGGCGAGCGTCGCAAGCCCTTACAACCATCACTACCGCTAGCGATTGCTCTAGTGGGATTTTGATTTCGCTGGAGCACCCTCAAAGTAGCGACGGTCGCAGTCACTTGTTGCGAAGGACAGTCTTTTTGAACCAGGTCCAGTGAAATCATGACCCCGCTGTGCGTCTCACTACCGCTAGCGATGGTTCTACCAGACTGCGACCGTAGCAACCTGGTAGATCACAGCTTTCCGTGGGGTGGAGTCCAAGCTCCAAAGTGATTGTTATTACTATAAGGTCCTGACTGGTGGGGTCTTTGAAAAGATTTTGAGAGATGTGACCCAATTGAATTGGGAATGGTGAGTGTGGTGGAGTGGACTGGACTGGACTGGATTGGAGTAACGAGGGTTTGCCTGTCTGTCAGCACCTATGCAGACCAGAAAACTGTCTGTTTTAACAAAAGCCTTGTCACAGAGACACCTCAGGACCCTTGCTTCGCATATCTTCATTTCTGAGGTGGCCTGAACATATAGTTTCGGGCAGCGAGCCTCTGGTCCCAGGCCACCTCGAATTTTGGTGCATTGTTTGGCTTTTGCTTCATCTGAATGTGGATGGGAATTATCTATGTGTGAAGTCGGTCGGGGGTCGGGGGGGGTGGCCCGAGAAAGGTATACGTAAACTCTTGGAGGTGATGTTTTAGGGATTTTGGAGCGGGTGGTGATGCAAGAGTGCATTTTTTGCTTTTGCATGGTTACCTATGTGTGGGCAGAACAAGACATGAAGCAGACTTGACACGCGGCCGCAAGCGGCTGCGCGAACTCATTTGATTGTTTCGACGCGCAGTTGTCGAGAAAGGGAAGCGCTGGCTTTCGTTTTGCAGCTTCTCAGGTGTTCACTTGTTTGCACCTAAGGCGACTTGCTTTACTTCGCATCAATTCGCCAGACCAATTCTCTTGAACCAAGCGGGACCAGCGCTACCCGTGGCACCCGGTCTGCGCTCAGCACCGGTTCTGGTGACATCGGTCCCTGCAGTACCGGTCTCAGCGGTCTCGGCGGTCTCGGTCCCGGCAGCACGACCGGGGAGCCGATCGAACGCGAGCGGCGCTCCCGGCGCTCCCGTCGTCGTGCCCTCAAGCCCCAGCATCACGCCCGTGTCGACGGAGTATGTGCCACGAGCGGTCTCACCGTCTGAGTCGAACAGAGAGGAAGCAAGGCCGGAGCCGAAGCCTGGCCCTTTGGAGCCGAAGCCTGGCCCTTTGGAGCTTCCAGTGGAAGCGGAGGAGACAAGTCAGAGTGTCTTGGCTGAGTTGATCTGTCCGATCTTGCAGTCGTTGGATTTGTTTTGCTATGTTGGTGGTGAGGAATCATTCGTTGCAGGGGGCATCAGTTTTCTTTTTGGTCGCTGCTCAGAGAGGTACCGGAGTCGGTGCAAGCTACATCAATCAAGGGATGTGTCATAATGTGTCCAAAGTTTTTGCATCCCCGTTGCTACTGGCTATCTAAAATGAGCGTGTTCGACCACGAAGAAACATGTTCTCTGACTCATTTAGGTTTAATCCAGGTTATCTAAATTTATCTAAAATGGGTCTAAAGTAAAATGTTTGGCAGCGACAGATTTGCGAACTTGTCAAATTAGCAAGTTTGGATAACACATGTTTTTTCAATTTGGTGTTTTTTTTGCACTTTTTAGATATAATTATTTGTGCAGACCTTTGGGTGTGAACAGTCATTTTAGATAAGCAATTTTTGGATAAAATGGGGAGTGAACCTCACTATCCGGTAGCGACGGGGATGTTTTTGCAAGCTCAACATAGACCTCTCATACTTTTTATTCAATAAAGGCAATTACATTGTGCCACGGGGAATGGCACGAGGTCTCATGCACCACCCTCTTTTCTGTACCAGCTTGGTTTTTCGCAAGCAGGTGCTCCGTTGAGGGTTCGGCGTTTTTTGTGGACGAATCGGAAGGCCTAACCATGGACTGGTTGAGGCCGGCTTCGAAGCTCGTCTTGGGAACGATGTCGGACTCCTACACCTGAGCAACAGATGGTCCCCAGGGTGAGAGAACCCCCAATCACAACCTCTAGTCTAAGGTCTTGCGAAAGCGAACCTAGCCGCTCACGTCTCTTCGGGTCTGGACGATTCATTGAGATGCTCGGCGAGGTCATTGATAAGAGAGGAGTTGTTTGTGTAAAATAGCTGGACTTGGGAGAGTTCTAACATCTATTCGACACCTTGTGCTGCCCCACTTGCTTCGAACAGGAAGAAGTGAAAGCTCCTATATCCCAGTCCTTCATCTGTCCTGTGCAATAGAAAGGTGCTTAGTTGAGGAGTTTGTTGCACCCAGCAATTGTTCATTCCATCAATTTGCAGTCGATCTAAGATCCACCTCCAATCTGTAGTGCACATTTCATCATAATACATTATACAGACCTCCCAAAGATAGAACAGTAGATTCCCACTTTAAATCTATTGGACACCGTGCCGCTATCTATTGGGGGATCACTCTACTTCACGCCAACGCTGGTTAAGTGGATCCGCCAGCCTATTCTTATCTCGTACATGATCCTTCCACACTAAGCCTCCGTTGAATGATCCTTCCACCCACACGATGGTCTTTACTGGACATCATCTGACTGGTGCTTAGTAGGGAATAAGGGAATGAGCCACCAATAGAGATTCTATTGGATCCATTCCCTCATTCCCTGCTAAGCACCAGTCAGTCATCGCTGCAAAAAGTCTTGGCTTCCCCAGAGAGCCACACACGTTCGGAACAGCAGTTCCTGTGCCACACACCGACCAGGCGGTTGTGGCAAAGGGATCTTTGGGCGCCCGGGCCCCACAAAAACATCCAAATCCCCACACATCCCCACACTCACACTCAAACTTTGGACTTTTCCATACTTGTCCTAAGGCTTTGCCAGTCGAAGCCGCTCACCTCGTGCTTCGATGATCCCGCCGCCACTGCGGCCGGTGCCCACCATCTTGGGCCGAGCGCCCAGCGGCGACTCGCGCCGCGACTGGCGCGTCCCGCGTCACGTCGACCCTGCGGCCGTCTCGCCGAAAGCGCCCACGGAGCCTGTGGCGGTTTCGGATGCAAGGAGTAGCTCGGTTCTTGCGGAGAAGAATGGGTGGGTGAGGTGGGGTGAATCCTCGAAACTGGGGAAGAGTCGTGACGCGGTCGTTGTTTCCTGGTGATTTTAAATCCTAAGGTATAGAGGAGCTGAAGAAGGAGCTGAAGCGAAGAGGTTTGGACTCTTTGTAGCTCGGCCATGCGATTGGTTGGATTTGTTTTGTGCGCAGAGTTGTTCCTTCCCAGTGACCGAACTGTGGAGTCAGCAAGTGAGCGAACTTACAGGCCTGTTTGTGACCTCAAATCAGGGGATCTCGGATCAAGTGCGGTCAATTGGTGGAACCATATGTCAATATTCCACACATGGAGTATCCTTTTAGATCCTGGATCTCGGATTTTGGACCCTGGGTCGGTGCCCTTCCAGTCTGCAGCAGTCTGCAGCCGTCAAACGGGTAGGAATGACTCCCACTGTAGATATGTATGACCCGGTGCTGTGGATGCCTCCCGAATTTCCACCTGTGGCTCCAACTGATATGAATCATGTTTTGAGATGTTTGAGTGCCCCTAGGGCTCCAAGTACCTCCTCAGAAGGTATTTGGACCCTCTAACCCCCCCCCCAAAACACCTTCGAAACGAAGGTACGACTGGAGCCCTAGGGTGCATGTTTGAGTGCATTCGGCCTTCGGATCGGATCTGATCATCATTCGCTGGAAACTCACCGACCTCAGAGCCTCACAGACCATTCTCGGCTGCTTGCATATGTTAACCCTATAGGGATCCAGTCGTACCGAACCTCAGAATAAGGTACGTACCTACATAACAGTGTCTCCAATCACCGTACCTGATAAGGTACTTGGATCCCATAGGGTAATGATGCAACTGAGGTTTTGTTTCTCGCAGGAAGACTTGTTGCGGCGGCTGCAAGAGGACATGATCGGCGGCCGATAAAAGGAACACGATCATAACGGAGCAGATGCCTATGTTCATGTTGGACAGATCCATAGTATCACCCTTAATGAGACTTAGTTGAGCTGTTTTGTGTACGTTTGTGTGTGTATGCTAGCTACATGTTATTTGTGTCCTTGCATGTCCCTAAGAGAACTTGCTGCAGCATGACTGAACCTGCGGACATCAGGGCAACAAGAGTGTACGCTTCAAGGCATCTGCGGTTGACCACTCTTACAAGACAGACTTGGACGTACCCGGCTGCTATGCTGCGTTCCGCATGGTCCAGCGTGCGCGGCCAAAATGGTCCGGCTGCGATCATCCGGAGAGCCAGGTCATGTAGGGACTTTCAACTCACACAGACCTCAATTGGTAGGGTCCACCAAGGCACCAGCTGCGAAGCTTGACGTTTCTTCATATGACAGGATGCAGAACGAAGATCGACTAGGTTATCAGTCACGTTCGACGGGGTGCGATCCGAAGTCGGGGTGCCCATGACCCACTAGATGGGACTAAACACCACACCGTCTTGTGACCCCTGGAGGTTATCAGTTACAGTATTTCTTTTTGCCAGGGTTCCAGTTCAAAATGCCGAGCCCGCGGCGCGCGACGAGCCTGCAACGGTCGCGGGGGGTGTGGTGCTAAAAGATGTCTGGTTTGATGTTGGCCTACGCTTTCCGTCCACATTGGTTTCATTATTTCGCCGTCTAGGTCCGGGTCCGCGGCTCTCCTGATTGGTGCTGGGTGACCCTGAACAAATTCATCGAGAGAAGAAGGATTGAAGCTCAAGGGCTTCGCTCCGAACAGAGCCGTCAGCCTCCTCATGGCTCCTCAACCTGTCAGGCTGCCCTCAGGCTTTGTCCATATGGGTCTCCAGCAGGACACCACAAGGACCCACAAGGGGGTTGTTCATAGACACACATTGGATCTTTTCTCGACCAACAACCTGCTTGCAGTCCTGCATGCTCCCCTTGGGGCGCACGGGTCCCCTTTGGGCGTTGCTTGGCAGGCCCAAGCAGCAGACGCCAGGTGCCGGGGGACCGCGCGGACGTCTCCGGGAGTGGCCCCAGGGCGGGCTGCGCAGCGAGACGAGTGTTCTTTCGGATTGAGCGGCCGAGGCCATTGAGCCATGTGTATGCATGTCAGTGTGTGGAGGCCATGAGCGCAGGGATTCTGGAACAGTTGCGGAAAAAAAACGACATCCAAGTGATTTCCTCATGAAACATCGAGACGAATCGACGTGTATGACACTACGAACCGAACCCAGACTATATAATATACATACCTGTAATTTGGAGGTGCTCCACTACGTAGACGACGACTCGGTCGTGACTTCCTTGACGATGGTTCCTGACGGAGTCGAGTGAATCGGACAGGAGTCCGAACCTGCATGTACAGCCTGCTGTGAGGTGCTAGGGTCGGAGAATTGGTATCTTAGTATCTTCATTATTCAACCTTTACTTGGGATGATTGAACCATATCGAACCCACTGTCTGATATGTTTCAAATGAGTTGAAAGCACCAGCCTGTGGGATGTTCGACTTCGGATATGCTTCAGCAGTGTCACTGTAGCATATCCGATAGTCAGACATCTCAACCCGCGAACGTCAAACAACAATATATAAAGCTCCATTCCAGTCACAAAGGGGTGCCGAACTTGGAGGATAAGGGTGCCCATTATCCACTCACTGGATGGGACTAAAAACCACCCCGTCTTGTGACTCCGGTTTTTGCCTCACTGCCATTACCTGGGCCAATTCAATGTGGTCCCCGAGAGTCCGCGCCCAGAGTCCGTTGGGGATGTAGGCAACAAGTGGGTGTAGCAAATCAACTGAAAACCGCAGCCTGGTGGTAGTGAAGACTCAAAATTCAAGAAAAAAGACAGTATATCAGTATATCATGTTATCGTCTATAAGATTCTAGATCAGTGGACATTTATCCGGGGTGGTATAGACCCAGACACTCCATGTATAAGATAAATCAGTATTTACAATTATTACCTACATTGACCCCCCCAAAACCACTCCAATGTCGGCAAATACTTCAGTCCCATGGGATTCGTTATGGATTCATGGATTTATGATGTTCAATGTTGTGCACTGTGGGCATGCCACACTTCGCCGCGCCAGTAGCGGCCTGATTGTTCATGTGACAGGCGAAGAAGCCGAGCCACATAGCCCTGAGGTCGGGCACGGCACGGGTTTGGTCCGGGGTGGACATGAGACGCATCGCCACACACACTCCCGGCAATGCATCTAAACCTTTGTCATACTTTGTTCCATATTTCCCTGAATTGTTTTAAGGGTTTCCTGTATACAGTTTCCCTAAAACCAATTCATTGAATATGTCTTAGTAACATTGTTGGACTCGCCACACGGCACCGGTCAAAGAAGTCAGATCTGGGTCGTCGATCTGCGAGCGGTTGCAGGACTCCTTTTGAAGTGAGCAAAGCAGTAGGACATTCTTTTGAAACACCTGGGATTAGCGGGAGGAAGGAGGTGGTGTGGGGGTGGTGTGGCTCGTCCCATCCACTCACAGTGGATGCTGGGCACCCCGACTTCCAAGTTCGGGACCGTACCCCGACATGGGAACTGCTGGTCAAGATCGTTTTTGGGCGGGGAAGGCTCCTTGAAGATGCTTTCGAAAACAACTACCATGGAAATCCGACACCGACACCGGACGTGTGGAAATCCATGGCTTCTGGAGTTCATGCTCAATGCACTTCTGGAAGCGTGGGACAGGCAACCAAGCCGCTGCGACATTTGGAGCAACAGTTGCAGGTGCCGGTTTTTCAGTTTTCATGAGTCTTTGGGTAAGTAGACCCTTGCTTTCGACATTATGAAGAGAAGAATTGACCAGGTTTTGTAGCAGTCCCAAGTCAAACAACATGTTTGAATTATCATTGATGGTTGGAATCCTACGGTAGGGCTGGTATAGTGTTAGGCTCCATTGCTTTGCAGTTGACCATATTGGCAACTGGTGGGTTCTTCATGCAAAACGTGGGGTGGATCTACCGGATGACCAGTGGAAATTCCATGAAACCAATCCCCTCAGCTCATGGGAGTCGGACGCTGGTACTACGAGTTTCAGATCGGAGTGCTATGGAGGAAGGAGTTGGGTGCCCCGACCGTCACATCGATTCACCTGGTATGGGACGAGCCACACCACTCTGACATGTGACCCCTATAGGCCTTGGGTGTGTATTTGAGATCCAGGAGAACCCTTTTCTGGCCCCTCTTGGCCGTGGTTGGGTTTGTTTGGGGGTCGTCCTATTCCCGTTTCCTTGACCGATCCTATGGGTCTTTGGTTAGATGCCATTCGAGGGGACCATGCATCCACAAGGAGGATTGGCAGGATGGATTATATCCATCATCCAGTCGATTCACCATCAGTTCCATGAGGACTTTCCAGATGTTAGAGAGACTGATCACGAGGACCCACAGATCTGGGTATATAGTATATGCTAGTACATATATATATATATATATATGTGTCCTGTTTTTTGTATTGCTGGATAGATATCCACAAATAGCGTTTGCATGATGTTGCTGCAACTCATCACCAACTGAAATAGATCAACAAATGAGCAATCCAAGGCTGCGGAGGTACTTGCTCTGGTATTTACAGCGAGAAATTATGGATCCAGGTATTGCAGGAACTCATGGCCCAAAGCTCCTGCGGTTGGGGTGGTTTCGGATGCTCTTACTGTCCTCGCAGTCTCCTGTTGGATGGTTAGTTGGATATGGTTATGAAGGTGCTGGATACCAAGTGTTCCCTCCCTGATACCAAGTGCATCCTCAACCATCAACATGCTAATCCCTACCTGTGCCAACTACGCCCTGATGCTTTTCCAGAAAGCCTCCCCCCGAGGGTATCCACCATCCCCGCGGGGGGCGAGACCAGAAGACCTGCAGGAACTGGAAGACCTCTTGCGGCAGCCCGGAGCGCGAGAGGCCGCCGCCGAGGCCGCAGCCCACGCAGTGGCGCCTGCGGCGCCGCCCGCGGAGCTGCCGGCGGAGACGGAGACGGAGGAGGGCCACGGAGCGTGGAGGGAGGTGAAGGGAGGTGGGTGACGGCAGATGGGAGCCATTTGTTGGAAGACAGAAGAAGGATCGAGATTCGTTCGATTCGGAAAGAATGATCATGTTCATTCTTGTTAAATGAATTTAAATGGAGCATCCAGGATCATCATAGCAATGAGGTCATGCGTTTAAATTGTATGATATATTATATATCATTATGACATGCTTGATTTAGTAAGGTTTGCGAGCCTTGTCGGATGCAGCTGTGACTGCCCACACTCCCAGCGGGGTCTAGTTGATTTTGTGTATGATACCATTCTTGTTTGAGATATTTATAGTCATATATAAGTCATTCCTGGAACCCCAAACAACCAGAAAGAAATGGATGTTTCCCCAAACACCCATTTGTTTCTAGTTGTTTGGGGTTCCAGGTTAGTCCTAGTCTCACTTTTGCAATAGGAAAAAAAAGACCGTCACTTGCGAGAGGTGAAACATATGGACGATATCGGAACACTTCTCAGGAGTCCAGCGACGACGAGGCTGCACCCGTGGGGGTGGAATGGCTAGAGTCGACATGTGGCTGGGGATCAACTTATGTCAATTCCAAAGATCTGAAAATGATCGCCATGAACAAAGTGGTGGTTCCAGGGTTGAAGAAGATCGCCCCAGTAGCGAAAAGTGACTTCATGTATCGATCCACTGAAACCCTTTTGCTTTGATACCAACCCGCTTCGCCATCCCAATGGCAGATGACCACCTGCCATGCAGAATTTGTTCTTGGACATTGTTTTGAAAGGAACCTTGAAGCCGAGGGACCCTGCTTTTGGACCATTGGAGTGGGGGAAACCTGCGTATAGTGAGTCTTTCTCAGCGAGGGAACCACGTGCGCGTCCAGCATAGCAAGAAACCTCAGGATCGAACCACCATTCGATTATATATATGAGGAATTTGGATGAATTTGGATCATGAAGTGCTCACCACAGGTTTGTCTTTAATGAATACACTGGCCCACTGGACAGACGACATCTTGAGTTCCTCCCGCAGTCCTGCACTGTGGTCATCAGAATCTGACTCGATCCGACTCGGATGAGAAGTCGTTTGGAAAGGCAGCGGAGGGGCTGCTGAAGCTGACGCTGGGTCGAGGTGCCGGGGTCGAGTTCAGCCGGACTAACTGGGTGGTTTCGTAACCCTGCCCTGCAGAATTTGCCCTGCAGAAACCTGCCCTTGACCATCCCTGACCCCCCTCCAAGTGCTGTGAAGAAGGGATAAGAGGGGGACATTGAATCACATTGACACGTTTCCCGCTGAAATGTGCTGAACGTGTCAACCTGAAAGACCTGTTGGAGAAGTGGTGTGGAAAAAAGACACAAAACAACATGTGAGGAAAACAGGCCGGGTTTCTGGTCCCATGTCGCAGAAGTCGCTCCCACGTCGCAGAAGTCGCTCCCAAGGCACCTTGGACGTGTCCCTTCATCTTCGCGCAGCAGCTGGTGGAGGCCATCGCAGCTGAGGATCGCAGTGTTCCAGCTCGAAACACGGTCTGGAATGACACCTGCGGAGACTATAGACTGTTTTTATAGCTAGCAAGAGCAGTTCTATTCTTTTTCTGAAGATGTACCACTCAGTAATCTTAATCCGTTGATAAGCTTTGCCACCAGTACTGGGTTGTGGGCACTTGATCCAAAACCCGTTGATTAGAAGTATACACATAATAACTAAAATTAAGAAACATGGTTATGTTGTGTTTCATTGCCAGCTTTGACGCGGCAGGTGCGACAACCCACAGTGCTTTGATCTTGGATCTTGCGAACGCAACACTAAAAAAGAAACAATCTATTTGCACCATATCCACCAGCACCTTCATGTCGGGGTCACCTGGCTGGCTTCGCCCCAGCCCACTACGTACAGGGATGTCCGGCCGTTAGGCACCGGTGCACGGCTTTGGACCGGTGGAGTACTCCTGGCCGCGGCTCGATGGCAGTGAGTGAAGAACTCTGCAGTATGAGTGAAGAAGGCCTTTTGTTTCCAGCCAAGAACAAAAGAAAAGATGAGGGTGATGTGAACATTCACATTTTAGTTGGTGGATTGGCCAAACACAGGTCTTCATGTTGCTCAGGTTGCAAGAGAAAGCCACACTGGCATAAGGACCCAGAGTGACAAGACCCATGAAGCGCAGATGACAGTTCACACTGTTCAGATGAGACCCAGGTCACGTGACCTACTGTACTTAGTGCCATGTGACCAATGTGACCTGTTCTTAAGGACAGACAACTAGATCGGGTGCTGAAGCGGGTGCCAGAGTGGACGGTTTGAGTTTGCTTGAGCCCACCTGCGCTGATTCAATTGGCCACTGTACCCAGCAACCCAGGGCTGGATGAGGAAGTGTTTGCTGCTGATTGAGACCTAGATGTAAGGGTTCTTAAGGACGGAGGTGGCAAAGGTTTTGGTGGACAACTACAACACACTATAGCCCTTGGGTTGACCTTACCTTGTGAAGGACAGAATCAACGTACATGTTGGTTCATGAGCAGCTTGCTCCTGTGCTTGGGCAATGTCAGTTGCCCCGTTCGTTTGGCAAGTTGGCCCGCGTTTTTCTCTCTTCCACTTCCTATCATCTGACTGCATAATATGCAAAGAGAGACCATATGCTTAGATCCCCCCAGCCACTTAGCAATCCGGACACCAAGCACCTTGGTCAAACGAGGTGACCAAACACCGAGGCTTCGGTCTGTCCGGATCCCACCGTCGCTCGCACTCTCAGGAATGGCTGCTTCAAGCGGAGCAGGCCCACGCCACCGAGCTCCTCCGTCCGCGGTAAGCGGTGTTGGACGATACCGACGTTGAGAATCGGAGCAACCACCCAAAATATATCAAAATATGGTGTCCTGTCAAAACAGGGGTCATGCTTGGGGTTCTAGGTAGAAGTCAAAGTTGGCGTGGGGATCCCTTCCGAAACCTTTACAACCTTCTGGTGGGACATGTCTCGGTGTTTGTCACAACACCAGACGCTTCCTGGGACTAGATCTAGACATGACCTCTGTTTTGATAGGAACAGGCCATACTTTGAGTGGTTGATGGTCCAAAATAGAGATCATTCAGGTTCTAGGTTAATATATTGCCTCCATTGACCGCTGTTTCAATATGTTTCAGTCACCCCTGGCCTGATCTGTAAAGATTTCAGTCCGATGGATTGTTTGTAACAAAGAGGTTTCCCAAAGCAATCATTGGGCAATCATTAGCAATCTACTTCTCACAAGTTCATACCATTTGCTCGTCGTTCCTCGGTGTGGAACGGAACCACTCATCGAGCCGCTCGTCGAGACGATCGTCGGTTTGATGAGGCTGCCGATCCCCTCGTGTCATCGACTGTTGCATGGGCTTAGCAGCTATACCCTAAGAATCCGGGCCCCCGAATATGAAGTGGAGATGGTCCGACCCCTGCCATGCCCAAAGAATACGTTACTACTACACAAGATTATAGTAGACTCTTAGAAGTTAGGGCAAGCTCGTTGATCTGATAATTTAATGTGAGATATTGAGGTGGATGCTTTTGGGTGGTTCCTCCTACCACTTGAGGGTGTCCAAACAAACCTTGTTTTGGGGGTTCCCAATCCAAAACGAACGCAACCAGTTTAGTGCACAGAAACATGAAACTCAACCCTTGAGGCACCGCCGTCTCCAAGCAACTCATGGGCTGCCGGAGCCGGGTTCAATGTGAGTTCCACGACCAAACCAGACTCAGTAGCTTCCTACATCAATTGATCGCTTCCTACCTCGAAGTGGCTTGGAGGACCAACAAGTCAAGCCGAGCCAAGGCGATCTGGAGGATTGGCCCAAATTCAGATCATCGGACCGGAACACCTGTTCTCATCGGGGGCGCGGCCAAGTGAGTGTCCACGACATGCGTTCCGCGCGTGCGTTCCCACCAGGCGGAGTTGCTGAAAGGAAAGCAGGTGGGGAAACTTGGAAGAACACCACATCACATACCTGCATGTTATGGAGCGCAAAAAACCGGTAAATGTATCTCCCAGCACCGCCCAGCGTCGGGGTCACCTGGCTGGTTTCGCCCCAGCCCACTACGTACAGGGACCTCCAGACAGGACACCCCTTGAAGATCCAGGTCTCCCAAGATTGAAGAGGTGTGGAGACCTCCACGCAGCGAGGCAGCGAGTGATCGTGGCGAGTCTGAGGCCATGACGTCATCCGAAGACCGTGGTGAACACATGTGACTTCCACCAGGACTTTCCAACAGGTGGTTTTTGGACACCCCTTAACTCTAAGAAGCTATTTATAGACACCTCTTGGAAGCTCCTGGCAGGGCATCTTTTTTTGGTGAGTTTGTTTGTTTGAGGTATTTTGCTTCGGGTGGCATGCTGTGGCGTTTGGTTTGTCAGGTCGGTCAGGTCGACTTGGATTCTGTCAGACAGACTTTGATTCGGTCTGAAGTAGACCCCCCAGGCATGAGATTTTACACACACGTCTGGGGGGCTGTTGTTAATTAAGAATCTACATTACCTTCGTTGTTAATCATATTATGCAATCAATGGAATCATAGGAGATTCTATAAACATAGATAAGCGCAGTGCAGCCACTTGCAGCTGAAAGCGGACTTGCTTTTTGACAGCTCCCGTGCTCAAACAAACATATCAAGCAATAGGTCGAAGTAGGTGTTCACCAATCCTCTTTGACTGGGTGTTCACGACAGATGTCCATTCACCTGAAAGGAAGTGTTTGACTTGGGTCACTACTGCTTTACATGTTTTCAACATTATTCAATCAGCATTGTGCAGCTCAATGGCTGAAAGACATGGGTGAGCTTGCGGGTGGCTTTTCTAATGGCTCAGAAAGTCCAACTGCTGTTTGCCGATGATTTGTTTTCTCTTTGTGGTTAAACTTGCATGATGCATGCTGATTAAAAAATAGACAGATACTTTGTATAGATAACCATAGACAAACAGACCAAAATGGTACACCGCATTCTCCAAAGAATGCGCTTCGACTCGACCGGGCGCCGTTGCTTCTTCCCGTGCCGCGCTCGCACCGGCAGTCCGCGCACCGAACCGTCGAGGTTCTGGAACTGGGCGCTGGCGCGGCCGCGCTGCCCTCCGTCGCCGCGGCGGCCGGCGCAGGCGCCGTGGTGGCCACCGAGGGCGTGGAGGAGCCGATGGCGGTGGCGGTGGCGGCACCCCCCAAGCCGCCGCGGGGCTCTGGGGGGTGCGAAGAAGTGCAAAGTGAATGCGAAGAAGCTTTTGGATTTGCCAACAAAAAGGGTATTTGATGATTAAACAAAAAGACGTGTACAACACATCAGATTGAAAGAGGACTTGTGATCATGTTAGGTGTATTTTTGATGTTTGTCTCTGAGAAGGTCACATGAGACCACAAGAGTAGCTTTTGGATGCTTTTGGACAACTCCTTTTGGGGTTCATGTGGAGTAGCTTGAATGTGTATAGTGAGTTTTTCCAGCAACCCAAAGTTCATGGAATGATTTGGACAGCTCGTCTGGTCTTCTCGCAGCTGCGGCCGCTCGCATGCGCTCGCATGCGCTCGCGGCGCTCGCGACGCAAGCATGCCATCCAGAACGAGTGAGGGTTGAAGGTCCTATGCCATGCCCTAAGCATCCATGTAGATGGAATACTCTCCCTGGAACTCACATGGAAGTGGAGTTCACCATTTCATGGTATTCCTTTCGGGGCCATGCCATCCACTTCCAAGTGAATTCCAGGGAGTGTACTTGCCGACATTGAACCTTAGAACATCTTAAAGCCACCCTACCATAGTCAGGTATTCCATACATTCCGTACATGGATATCCAGACGTCCACTGTCTCTGTGTGAAAACCAAAGTTGTCCTTTTTTTGAGCAGCCCTGTTGTTTGATTTGTTGTTTAACATTGATTGTTTGGGTATCTGTCAGATTAACTCCACTGCCCAGACGCTCCAAAAAGCCCTTGGTCCCTCAAAATTTAGGGATTTGAGACCCCAGACCCCTCCACATGAGGGCCCAGGGTCGAGTCTGGGTAGTGGTTGGTCCTTAAGGTCCTCAGCCTGGAGGACAGAAACCCTTTTTGTCAGCCTCAGGAGGTCGTTGCGCAGATGAGGCGCGATGACCGAGACATGGTGGAGGTCATTTCGAAATCCATGTGAAAGTGAGCTCCCCTGCACTCCAAACAAGCACTGGACGCCAGGACTTCCTGCATGAGGTGTGCACTCCGGCCTTTTTGAAGACCTACCACGGCCACGGCATGTGTTTTTGTCCGTTTAGTGAACCTTCTACCCCAAGCAAAAGACATGAGCCAGACAAGCTGTTCCTTCCCCCATTGGGTCCATACTGTATATACCTACAGGTGAAACGACATCCCTGAGAAGGGCCTGGCAGGACGTCCGAGCAACGCATGGTTCTGGACCCTTTGGGTTCATGTTCATCAGTCGGACACCGCGCAGCGTGAGGCGCAACCTACAGGCCAATGCTCCAGCTGTGCGGGGTGAGCAGTTGTGGTGGCAGCACACGGGGCGGCGCAGATATCGGAAGAAGGACACCGAAGGGGTGATAGGTGATACGTAACGAGGGGTGCTTGGGCTTTCGAAGCGGCTAGGTGGCACACCAGATTTAACGCCATGCTGCCACGATCAAACAATCAAATTAGTTGCAGGTACGATATAAGTGAGTAAGGACACCGCAAAATATCCGCCATCGATGCTTTACTGAGTCCTGAGGAAGCCATTCTCATCTAGTCCAGGACCATCCTGAGGATACACTTTTGTCCTTTTCAGGAGATACCGACGACCCAGTAGGATATATCTGTAACATGCCCATGATTTTGAGGAGAGAAAGGCAAGTTGAGTCTTGTGGTTTGTATCTCTCTTTGCTTCATGGAGTCACCGGCCGGTTGGCAAAGCGTCATTATCAGCATGATTCCGTGACTTTGGCATGGAAGTTCCCCCTCCCACACATGGCAGTGTGCTGTAGTGATTCCACAGGTCATATAGGTTGTCCATGGTTGTCCCCGCATCACGCATCACTCACATTGGGTCAACGGTCAACGTGCGCACACGTTCTGAAACATCAAAAGCCACGCCAAGGTGGAAGCCCTTAAGGCTTTAAGGCCTTAAGATATGGGACCCCAACAGTTGCATTCTTTGTACCAGCATCCAAAAGGTGTTCCCCAGGTCACCAGTTCGGTGTGCCCAGAAAGCACCTGCTGTTTCGGGACCAAGCATGAGGTGCTTGGTGTCCGCATACATTTGGTTTTGTTTTCAACGGTTCGGGTCCGACCCCTGCGTTTCCGTGGGTCATGGGTTGTCCAAGGATTCTTATAGAAGGTCCCTGGTCATCCTTCGCATCGTTCGTCAGTCCATCAGTCCGTCCGATCCGCGCTTTCCAACCACCAGGAGCAGTTCGACGTCGTGCTCTTCGCCGATGGCTGGGAGATACAGGGACGAACTGTGACAGGATTAGGCAACTTCTATCAAATTCTGTGTTGAGACATTCAGGATCATTCGGGTCTTCCATCTCACAGAGTCTTTTGAGTCTTTTCTCCCGAAAAAGGAACGCGTCGAAGCCTCCGCACCGCTCGCGCCCCCGCAGGTGTGTACACCGAGCGGGGCGCCTGGCTGCTGGCCGATGCAGCAACGGCCGCTCCGCGGGGGGCGGGCGAAGCGTTCGGCGCGACGACCGAGGTGTTTCACGGGCGAAAGAGTAGAGCCAAAATCGATACGACCACCTGCTACTGGTTACCCAAGATGCTACTATATACACTGCATAATTTGCAACATTTTGAGTTGTGGCAGTGGTGAACTTGGCTGCGTTGGCTGATTGACAAACTGCTCATGTTGTTTATCCCTTTGCCAGGCACTACTCAGGCCATCAGGTACGTGCGCAGCTCAGAGTGTGGGATATCGGTTAGATTGCTGACCAAGGATTCATGCTCAACAACGAGCCTGAACTGCAAACTGACAGGCTGCCCCAAATTCCTATAGGAATCTACCTAGCACTTCCTGTCGGGGGGCCCAATGGAGACCTGCATATACATGCGTAAGTAGTGTGGAGATAATATCCATTGGTGACCCCGAACGGAAGCAGCTGGTATGTCGACATACCGAGGAACCGAGCCCTTTCCTGGTCCCTCGAAAATGGAGGGTCGATTTGCCGTGTGATCATGTGTGATCAGTCGTTGACCGACCAGCCACCCGCTCGCTCCGTGATTGAATCGCTCCAATCCGGAACGAGGTTGATCGGGGCACTCCCAGATCTACGAGCTGGCATGAGCTCCTTCGAGGAGTTTCGACGCGTGCGGGAGCGGAGCAGGATGGTACTTCTCAGTGGGGAGAATTTGGGCATGTGATGTTCCTGGCTCAACTGGGATATCTGGGATACTGCTTGGTGCTTTCATTTATACGTGTTTCTTTTCTTTCTCCGATTTGAGAATGACTACTCCAGGTGACATCAGATTGATTCAAATTGTTTGGAAAGGGTTTAAACCATAATCCAGGATAAGGTCGGTTCGAATTTTGACTCCGTCCCCACACTCCTTCGGTCAAAAGATGCTTTGACAGTGCCCTGTGATGGTGTGTGTATATTTTTGTGTTGTTTACGGGTGACCTGTAGAAGGCCAAGCACTTAATTGCTACTTGTTGGTATTGTTTTGGAATCCTACTCACGGAGAGCTTGACCTTGTTCCAAAATGCGAAAAGGCATCGGGCTAGGGCTTTGGATGTGGCCTCGAGATGCCAGTTTGGTGGAAAGAGATGTCATGCTTACAGACCAATCAGACCACAAATGAACGTTCATTCTATAGTGTAATATGAGTTCATGAACCCTGATGAAGACCCCAGATGTTGAGGTCGACCTGTATGTTGAACCTGGGACCAAATAGTGACAGAAGAACACGTGACAGGTCTGACAGAAGTAAGACTCTGAACTTTGGACTGCTTGAACACAATCCATTTGCTCCGTAGACCTACATTGGACCCTGCGGCCGTTGAGCCGTGGACGTGGGATGTGTTCCTCCGCGCAGGAGGACTTGTCCGCGCGGGGCCTCGTGGGCTCAGAGGTGTCCTTGGATCAGGACTGGACACGTGGATCATTTGGATTTGCGTAACTCCAAGGACACCTCAGGGGTTGTGGTGAACTCACAGTCGCAGTGCTGGTTTTCAGCGTTCAGTGACTGTAAATAGGACCTTACAGTAAGGTACCCAACTGGGATAGTCTTCTTAGGTACTTCAATCTCTGTTGGAAGTACAAAAGAATGCCTCCCAAGTAGCAAAACATGAACAGCATTCCAGCCCCGCACGCTGCAAAGAAACGCGACAACCGTTGCTTCAAAAGGAGATCATCGATGCTGCTTCGCGGCCCTACGATGAGGTGAAGGGAGGGAGTGTGGAATGGACAGGGTGAAACGGAGTCCATGAGGTGAAACAGGGTGGATCAGAAGACACAGAAAGTGGGTATGTTTTAACCCCCGCGGTCAGTCGACCAACCACATGGACCCTTTCAGAAGTTCACCCGTGGTGGAAGACCTACGAAGACCAACCCGGTGGCTTTTGACGAATCAGTTGTTCATTTGCAGGGGGTTAGCAACACTCAGCATGTCCTACTCAGAATGTGTTCATATACCACCGTGGATGGCGTGGTTGGTTCCTGCTTTCAAATTGTTCTACCCAGCGGATCCCCGCAGAGTCACTCTACAAGTCAGAGGCGCAAAAAACAGTTCCCCGCTTCCCTACCCCAGACAATCCATGTATGTACAGTATTTATACCCATCCTGGCTGGAGTAGATAGAATATGAACCGATCCAAAAAACATAATCATTGGATTTTTGCATGTTAACATCTACTCCATGATGACCAAAAACCCACATCCCGGGGTGTTTGGTTCCCCACTGGGATCGGTTTTGTGATTCCGTGAGTGCTTGAACTGAGCTACACCGTTCGAAGTGGGACCCTCCACCACTTTGGGACGGATCGATGTTCCACAAAGTGTCGCCGGTTTTGGTTTGGAATGACTTTCTTTCAGGAGTGCTTGGTGGGTTCCTCTATTTTTATGCACAACCATTTGTCAAATTCTAGTGAAATCGTTTGTACTTTTCTCCTTACTTGCTTCTGTAGGTCATGATTTTTTCAGGTTTTGCGACTTTTTGGCACCTGCCCCACTTGTTTCGTTTGATATGTTTGATGTTCAAAGACTTCTTTGACGCATAATACTCGTAAAACATATTATCTGAATTGTTTGCTACAATTGGGAAAATGCTGCAAGCTACCACCACCCAGGCCGTTGGCCAGGGGCAGCAAAGCAGACAGCACCCAAATCGAGTGCGGGTGTCACTTTCAACCAATACTGGTAGAAGTCTTGACCACTACCTGTGAAGATGCTTTGCGCAGTGCTGGTGAAGGCTTTGACCAGTACTGGTATCAGTAGACTTTCCTCTTGAGCAACTCTATAAACCTCCCTGTTCATGTAAGAAGAAGAGGGCGCGTGCCTCGCAGCGCAGTGGCATTCGACGCTCTTCTTACGACACAGGCGCAGTGGCATTAGGTTTCGAGAGGTGGAGAGCTGAACTGGGACCCTGTAGTATACTCATGTACATGTACTGGGACCCTGGCTGTTCCAAAGGGCTGTTCAACCTCTATAGGTAGGGGCATGAGACCCGCTCTCCCGTCTCCAGCTTTTCTAGGACTCCCGTGGCCTGGTGGCGGGAGGTTCCGCCAAGGACCGGATCGACCTGGGCGGCCGCGCCAGGACAGGCTTTCCGGTCCAAACCGATGTGGATCATTTGTCCATTTCAGTGGGTTTCAGCATCAAGAGAAAAGTACATCAGAGCAAGATAATACTGTTTACTGTATACCCTACAAGTCGGAGACCTCATGTTACTGTATATACAGTTGTTCATAACAAACCAATAATACTTAAGGAGGTTTAAAAAGAGCTTTTACTGGGTCGGACTGGACTTGTTTCAGATCTGTTTGAAGGAAACCAGCTTTGAACAAGGATCGGCGACTGCCGGCAGTCTTAGCGGTCAGAGGTCCGAGCGAACCCAGAGGATCCATGGTGGCGTAGCTATGACCTACATTCACTTAAAAAACACATCGCGAATTCACACACACGCACATGGCAGTTGGTTGGTATTCGATCTTTGCGGCGCGGATCGTCTTTCTGAGGGGTGTGTGGTCGGCGTGTCGGTTGCTTGGAGCTGTGTGCCACAAGCGACGCTGTCACCCTCACCCTCCGCAACACCACCATCGGCGCATGAGCGCTGGAGGCCGGATTAACCGTTTCAAACGGCACACGTTACTCCGCAAGGTCCCGCAAGCTGGCTGGTCTATTATTTGACAGATGGATCCCCCTATCAATCCCCCATTTGTCGACAGATCTGTCCAAAATGGGTGCCGCTTCTCACCCCTGAAACCACATGCTCTCCTGGATCCGGTGAACAATCGGTATTGGCTGTGCCCCACCAAGTCCCACCATGTCTCCCTTTCCTGGCAGACGGCTCCACCCCCGGAGGTGTCCCTCTGACCCGGAAAGCGAAACAGCGCGTGCCGTGCCGTGCGACCGCGCAAGCTCCGCGCGTGCCGCGCGGCGCACATTGCGCCGCAGGACTACCGACTGATCCTCTGGCGTTACAGCCAAGAGGCACCGGCATCGCCCAGATCGAGTGCGTCCTCGGTCGGTTTGGGGAGGCGTCCTCGAGCGAAGAATGAGACATGGCACCACAGGTTTGCATCGGAGTCTACGCATTGTTCATGCATTTTCGGTGGATGGCTTCACTTGGAGCAATAGGAGTGGAACTTTGGTATTTTGTGGATGACAATGATTGAACATGGATGAGTCAAAGCCTGGAGCCCGCTTCACCCTGCTAGATGGACCATGTTTGGTAGTCTATGTTCTTCATGTTCGGTGGGAAAAAGGTAGGGTGTCAGGGTGTCCCGGTAGGGTACCCATCCCCATAAGTTTGATCAGTTGGAGTCAGTGTTCGAATGGCCAAGCAATGCATAGCACTGCAAGTGATTATCTATTGCTTTTGTTGTGGCTTGGTTTTGCTGTAAGCTTAATGATTCTTTTCTGAAGCGGTGCATACGTGGTTCTATAGGCTTTATTTTTACCCAGTTTACCGTGATTTCCAAGCTGTTGGCTCATGACAGATCACATGGCTTCTCTTTTTGCCACGTCAGCATGTGCAAAAAGGTACGTACTTAGAAAACACGGTTTTCCAAAAGACTGTACGAAGAGAGCGTGTCGAGCACGAACGTGCATGCACACAAGACATTCGACAAACACGCACAGAAGACTAAAGAGATGGAATGGACACGCAGTATAACAATTGAAGTTCCAAATGACCAGAAGATGTCATTTGATCACATTCATGGTATTGCCAAATGAAAGATTTGAATCAATCCACTGGTCACCGCTGGCTGTGTGAACCTCTGTCTCTGGCTGCGCGTTTCCGCGATGGCACCAAAGGCTCAGGCGCCCCAGCGTTCTGGAGTGCTTTCCGCGTTTCCGCGAAGAAAGAAGACGAAGAAGACCCCTGGGGTAGGATTATGTCTAAGTCTTCCAGTACTTCATCTCTTGGCTCTCCAAAAGTGCCGTTTTTCTCCATGAGCCAGGTAATCTAAGTGGTATACGGCTGCAAGGCTCAGCCTCTTTAGTAAAGGGCCGACCCCCAAAAGAAGGGTGTTGATTCATAGCCCTTGAGGATGCTTAAAGGGATGGTCATTGACCACCCCGATCCTGGGTCCTGGAGGATCTTGTGAGATGCCAGCTAAGGCTGCTAAGGCTGTAGGGTGGTCCCCTTATCTAGGCCGGAGTGAGGGTCGGACCTGGGCCAAACTTCTGGGTACCGGAATTTCTAAGAAATCCAAATAAGAACTGAAAACTAGAATAGAAGAATGCAGAGATTGAATAAGAAGATTAATAGGACAGGTGGATTCCAAGGGTCAAAAGTAAAGTTTTGATCGATCACGACAGGATCTCATTTGGCCTCAGCCTGGTCGTGGGCCTGGCTTCGCGAACAGGCCCAAGACAATGACATACCTGCACCCTCGAGAGAGTTGTGGTTCATACTTTTTCAATCGGAGTAAGTTTTTGGGATTCACTCAAAAACTAGTTCAGGGCCTATGGGAATCACAATCAGACATTTTGCAGGCCAAGCAAGCCTTATTGTGCACGACTTCCATCGTTGTTCACGTATTTGTTTCTCATATTTGTTTTGTTGATTTTTTGGCAAGTGTCCTTCCAAGACCGGAGCAAAAAAGATCGGCTTATTTTGGGGGGCGTACCTTAACCAAAAAGCAGTGTTCAGGACTCGATAGGTTATTGATATTAATATATATATATATATGCACCAGCACCACCCAAAAGCATGGGGCATGGTTAATTTATAGACCCCCGATACCAATGGTTTACCATCGTTGTAACCCCCCTTGGGTGGTCCCGTTAATTCTTCTTTGAATGAATATAGCAACTTCCTCGGTTATGAGCAGGAAAACTAATGCTTTACTGTATGAAAGGATGAAAGGATGCCCCCCCTAAAGGAAAACTAAGCCTTGACAACACTATCCTCTATGAACACATTGTTGGGACTTGACTAAACTGAGTCAACCACAACTGGGTCAGGTTTCTCCTTGCAGCGCAGGTCAGAAGGTATGACTCGTTTAGAAACTTGGAGATCCAGCTTTGATGCACCAATGCCCACACACTGCTACGTTCACTATTTGACTTTCCCAGAGAAACTGGGAAACCAGGCTTTCGAAACAGGTACCATAGGAACCACATCTCGTCCTTCATCTCCTTGAGATCCCCGGATCTTCCGTCACTTGCGGCCTCGGTCGTTCAATAGGGTCACAAAGGGAAAGAAAGAAACACCAGTTCTCTTGGTCACTTCCCTGGAGGTCTGGGCACTTGATGTTGATTGAATTCCGGGAAGCTCCCACGCCACGCGGCGTCCAATGCGTACGGCCAACCTATGCCGTTTTCCAGGTGACTGCAGCCTCCAAGCGTACGGCCACGCCACCACCGAAGAAGCGGCTTTGCTTGCAATAGATAGCTGTGAATTTGGCAGCTTCAAGTCATGTCGAATAATCAGAACATATTAGAACATTATCACGAAAGGTAGCCTGGTAAGGGATAGCGGCTAACTTGAGTTTGCTTTGCGAAACAAAGGGGTTAGCTTCAATAGCCTGCTCGGGACCAAATATTGATATATCAATTCTATTGACCCCCACCGCCTCCAATGTGATTAATCCATTATTTTGGTGACCCCCCCTCGCCAGCAACACTAGCACACCTACCATAGCGTCATGTCCATTCACTGGCAGCGACATCGGTGTCTACAATGAGGTAGCGCAACACAGCTTCGACGGAGTGCGTACAGCTCTTACACACGCCAGCGTTTGCAGGCCGCAACTTTTTATGCAAGCCAGCGTTCACGCACCATATTGCTCTATAATTATACACAAACATTGACGCAACACAGCCTCTACGCAAAGCCGTGTTAACAAACCTCACCACACCACATGCTGAGGCAACCTCTCCTCGCGACCCAGGTTGCTCTTATGCGGACCGCGCGCGCGACATACGACCGCACTTCCGCAGTTTGGCACCAGGCAATTCTTACACACCATGGCTCTCATAATATATATACACTAGTGTTGACAAGCCTCCAGGTGCGCCACACCACACCCCACCTTTTACACCTCTCATATATTCCTGGTACCTCTCTACCTTTCGTGTTTCAATGTCTCAAGTGGACGATGCCGCGTACAAGTTCTCAATGTTATACAATGGTACTATTAGCAGTCGTGCTTTTCAGGTTTCAGAACGTTCGGACGTAGAGCATGCACCGCACCTACAACTGATGCATTCTCCTCCACACAACATCACCCAGCCAGGGCAAGGGGTTCCCCCTTATTAAAATTTAATACACACTCATGTCGCTGCTGCCCCTTCGCAAGTAACTATACAACACTGATTTGCATTGCTTTGCGCAGGAAGCTGGCCCATGCTCCGTGTTGGTGTTGGGTGGCTCTGGGCGGGTCCCACGCAAAATTTCCGATGGGCTCGATTAGCATCATTGAACGCCAGAAGCGAGGGGATCTGATTCTTGGAATAGGGCACCAAAACACCAAAACACACCGATCTGATTCTTGGGTGTCATCGCTTCCAACATTTTCGCTATTTCCAGACCTCGAATCCAAACACACCGCTCCCCGGTGGGACTTTCGGCCAAACATCTCCCCGCATGCCCCGGACGGTCCGTCGTTTCGTCGTTTCGGCGCCGTTGCCGGCCACCACCCGTACCCGTTGCGGCCCAACGGCCGAAACGGTGGGGGTTCGGAAAGTGGAGCCAAATCCGGTCAAATCGGGTTAAGTCATCCACTGAAGTGAAGTCTCCTCAAACAGTTTGGTGGAGGTGTTTAAGTCCAAAAACATGTGGTGCTGTGTTTTTTTTGCTTTGTTGAGTCTGTGGATTTCAGCCAGTTAAGCACCCTGTTAGCTGGGCAGGAGCCCAGGCCGCATCCGCCGGGCTCCGGGACCGGTTCATGCAATTTTGGAGAGCCTTCCTCCTGGAAGCCTGCACAAGTAAAAGAACAAACAACCAAAACACATTCCTGGAGTATTCCAAGCGGTTCCATTATATAAATATATAATATAGAGTAGTGTAGGGTATTCCATTTGGAGACCCTGACAGGAAGGTTCTGCTAGAATTCGCAGAATCTTCACAATTTCACACCTGTGAAAGGATCTGAACTTGATGGACTAGGTCTGTCAAGTCACTTGATTAGATTGGACCATATATAGCTATTTTGCGTATTTTGTCCTCACCCATGTTAAACGTGGCACTCACCTTGTTTAGCAGGAGGTAATACAGAAGATCAGACCAGGGATCTCGGGAGAGCGAATGGGGACTTCCCAGTCAGACCCCATCGGTGAGACGTAAATAAAAATTTGTTCAGAGATGTTCTCGTGAAAGTTCAATGCAGAGTCCCAACCCTTCAGCTGTATGGAACCATGGCATGTGAGACTTCTCGTCGAGGCCACATGGTATGAAGCATTCTGGTAGAACCAGAACCCATACCTAGAAGCATCAGTGCGTGAACCCGAGAACCATAGGAACCTGTTGCACCTTCCGGCAGCGAGTGCAGGGGAAGTGGCCAAGACTCAAGCCTGGGATTCCAACAAGCTTTCATAGGTTTGATTGGAGTAACCAGACTGTTTGACTCACGAGTTTAGACCACCAAAAAAGTAGGTAACTTGTTGACTCCCAGAAGATTCTTATGACTACCAGATTTGGACACCGACGGGACGAGATCTGGGATGAAACTCCCGAGAAGCATCTTCAGTCAGCTGACGTGAGCACGCCAGCTGACGGGTGGACAGTGGCAGGATGTGACCAGTGGGGTCTCCAAATGTATCCAGATGATGTGAGGCGAAACAATGCTTGAAGTATCGCAAGAATGCCAGCGATTCCACGCAAGCTCCGTAACACTTAAAGCAAAGAGACCGTGAACTCAAGAACCATTGCAGTTGCCTTGTTCTGCGAGGATTTGAACTGACGAGCCTCAGAACGCCTTGCCGCGAGCCTCAGAACGCCTTGCCGCGTCAGCCTGGCCGACTTGTTGGCTTTTCCTCCCGGATTGGCTCGCGCTTCTCGGCCCAGGAAAGAGGTGGTGCCAACACCCCGGCCGCCGGAAGCTGCTGCAAAGCCCGCTGCGACCAAGGCAGTGGCTCCGAGTGAAGAGAAGGCTCCGAACCTCAAAAGTGAGTGGGGGAACATTGCTTTGCTGTGCTTACTGTATCTTGGTTTGAGTGGAATGAGTGAAGAGCGAAACGAAATCAGCCTGCAAGTTCTTGAGTGGCAACCAGAACGCCTTATAGAGTAGAGGTAGAGGCGTGACATTTCCACGAATGAGGGGCTTCGTCCAACCAGCGACTGGTATATGTTGTTTGGAGATTGGATTGTGCTGTACCCTTTCTATTTTTCATGTTGCATTTTTGCGGATTTTGTGAATTTGTGTGACATGCACGGCATTCCTTGCTCAGGTACACATTGCAGGGTATTCCGCTGGGTCTTGGCCAAGTATTCCCTCTCCTTTTGAAGGACCGTGGAGCTTCCTACACTGATCTCGGCATATTTTCCCTGCAACTTGGTGTTTGCTGGATCTTTGCAGGTTTGATTGTGACGCAGAGCAGATCAGCACCCAAACTCCTGTGTTAAGCAACCTCAGTTTCGATATTTTGTTGTATAGTTGATAATATTGCAGGGCCCTTGCACCGTGGGATCAAACATCATCGTTTTCAGCGCCTCGGGCCTGTTTCATTCCGTATGCGTTGGCACCTTAGCCGGGTGAATCCCGTTCTTCCAGTGGTTGACACACGTCCGATTGAATCCCGTTGTTCACACATCCTCGGATGTCGGATGTTTCCAAGCTGGGAGACCCGTTTTTCAACCTGGGAGGCCCTGTTGACCAGTTGTGCGTTGCATACTGGAGACTACAAGGTGTTCATCGCCGCTCGACCGGTTCTTCGACCTTAGACCGGTCCAGGTGTATCCAGGTGTGCTTCGTTTGTCTACCAACACCTTTACAATAATTGTTCGATTTGGCATTGAACGGCGATTCATTACCTTAAAGTATGTTGATGTTTTTGTAACAACCTCCTTCCACACGAATAGCAGCCACCATGATTCAACCTTTTCGAGTTTCTCAGCTCACCCCTCGGCCCCCCCCCCCAAAAAAAACGATGCAATCGACCTTCGAAGGGTACCTGCGATGCCAACGCTCGAGCCAAATCCTGGTGGACTTCGTCGAAGGAAGAACAAACCACACAGGAATCAACATTTGCCAAAAAACACCTGGAAATCGTGGAGCTTTGGATCCAGACACCTACTGTAGATCTACCATCCTGTGGAGGTGTGGAGGAGGTGTGGAGTTCTTGTGATCGAAGCGCAACACGGCGCAAGGGTCGGCGCAACGACGCCAGCCTCCGCGCCTCGCGAAGAAGCGCGAACACATCCGGTCGTTCGACCACGAGACACCCTTTGAGGCAATCTTGGCCGTTTGTGCTGAAATTATTTTGGGTTCCTTGGCGGATTGCCGGGGCCAGTGCCGAGTTTCGGCGCGAGCGTCAATGACACGCCGTGTTCGGATGTGGCCCGGTTGGCGCCTGTAAGGTCGTCGGTACAAGCATTATCATGAGACAGGTTTTGACTATCGAATCGTAATCCACTGTTGCTGGGAATGCCTAACACATCCTAACACCTCATATGAATACCGAATACCAGTGGTTCGTTCAACTTGTCGTCACTAGATCAGAGTGTACACATAGGGTTTGGGGGTCTGTGGTGTCAGGCATTTGAGTTTCTGGCTCTAAGTCCTTTTGCTTGTTAGGTCTCACAGTTGTGCTACCCTTTCAAATGGTAGTTTGGCATTTGCTGAGTCATTCAAATTGTGATCGTTGCATTGCTCGCGTTCGTCCCATGTCGAGGAGCTTTGAACCATGCGTCAATATAATATGTCGACCTGAAAATAACGGAATGTGTCACCTGTTTGCCTCACTCACACAAGGGCCCACGTCTGAAGAGCGAGTTGGAAATGGTTTCTCTTTCGGTTGAATAGGGAGATCCTCCAACCGATGAGTTTGGTTCGCTATTTGCCCGACTGGAACAAGCGGGTAGCAGCGAATTGCAGAATGTTTATGCCGGCTGAAGCATTTTTACAATTCTTTCAATACTTGCACCACGCGGTGGCTGCATGGATAGACCTTAGTGACTACTTTTGAACATGTCTCAATAATAGTGTATCAGTGTATAATGAACATATTAGAACGCGCTTTCGCTTTTTGCTTGGGCTCACCATGATCATGATGAAATCTCCTGTGTTTCCTCTCCAGAATCCTACAAACATTGACCGGTTTGCTCGGGGCCACGTGGCCAACGCTTCAGACACAGACAGTGCATCAGCAGCTATCAAAACGGTGCACCCAGACAGACAAACAAACATATGGGTGATTATATTTTGAAATATAGGGAGACAGCCGACCACTGGGTTTTGTCTAGGAACTCCCTCTTCACTGGAGACATACCCTTAACCACGCCTTGGTCGACTTAACCACGACCAGTGTGGAGACCACTAGGGAGGTCTCCCTAGTGGTCTCCGCACCCAAATGGATAATGGTTTGGTTACCAATGGACATCTCCACACTACTTATAGGTCTCCAGACAGGGCACCCCTTGGAAGTGCTAGGTATATACAACAATGATTCTTCGGGATGACCCGGCTATTAAACACATGGTGGGCAACAGTGGTGTTTCTCTGTTTTTGAAGACATGCCTCGGCCACGACGTTCGAGGCGCCTTTGGTGGATTCGGTGTACATCCGCCAGATGGGGCGCAGAAAGCGCTTTTGACTGCACCGTGTTGGGGCTGGTGATCGAAATCACGGGTCAAGTGAAAGGAAGTGTTCGGGTCTTAGACCAGCTGTTGAAGGAACATGGGCTCATCGAAGCACAGCATTGGGAACAGGATCGCAGATAGAGAATCAAGACATGTTCATTGGGCAATCTCAGTTGAGATCATGTTGGACTACAACCCTGGCCCCAAATTGGAGCTTGCCGGGGTTCCACATCCCACAATCATCGAACACTCCATATGTACCAAGCGGAAGGCCCAAAAAAACCACTGGTTCACGGGTCACTTTTTGGTGAGCCCTGTGTGCCACGGAGTTTCAGTGGTGCCCCACTGCACCACGACGGTCCGCGTTTGATTGCTTGTTTGGAGCGAAACCAGTGAATGTCCGTGGAGGCGTTCCTGGATTTGCTGAGACGCTATTCATTCTTATGGGTGACATGACGAGTGAACTGATTTTTGCATGACTTTTGAACATAACTTAGCATGTTACTCTAACACGTTCTGAGGGGTGTTCTTTAGGAGGTATGTGGTCAACATAAGGGCGTTACCGTGGAATTAAATATCATGGTAACTTTTTTTAATTATCATGAAAATGTTAGATAAATTAGCATGCTATGTTTGTTTGTATCATGATATGTTATAATTTTGGATATATTATCCAACACAGATTCCAAAATGGGACCCAAATCGACTCCAAAGAGGTCCCAAAACGGCACCTGTTTTACTGAATTTAATTATCATATATTATCATGATAATTTTAAGAATTAGCTTGTGATTGGATCAATTATCATGATAATTCTGTGAATTAAGTATCATGATAACTAACTAATTATCACGATAATTAATTCCCAGATTTGGTTACTTTTTGACGGTTTTTGGTTGCTTTTGGAGTTTTTAATTATCATTATAATTTATCCAAAATCATCATGATAATGAAAACACATATATATATATATATGATATAATTAAAGTTAATATTTTGTCCAATATTATCATGCTATGTAAACATATTAGCATGATAATTAGCCAAATTATCACGACAATACACGCTAACGAAAACGTGCTTGAGCGACTGCCTAAAACAACTCTTTCCACAAATCAACTTGCTTGCTGCATCTGTCAAAAGCGCAGTGAAAACCACCACCTATACTTGAAGATCGCGTTCCCTGAAAGACACTCTGCCCACTTACACCGGACAAAATTAGAATTCGGTGGAATTAACGTTTAGACTGGCTTTTGGTTTAGTGATCCATTTGGAGTGCTTCCACTTTATTGTTGTTTGGCAAGGAAAACATAGGAAAACAGCTCTGACTGAGTCTAGCCAAGTCATCGTGGTCACCTGTGGGGGAGGTTCTTCTGCAGACCGAAGAGAATTTGGTTGACCTTTGTTTTGGACAGGTGTGGACTGACTGGTGCTTAGTAGGGCATGAGAGAATGACCTCTCACTATAGATACCATAGGATCCATTCCCTCATTCTTTACTAAGCACCAGTCAGTGGACCACCACACCAATCTTGGCCTTTTCCCTATGAGCCTATCAGGTGACCTTCAACCAAGCACAAATAGATCTTCACTTCTCATCACATCCTCATCTTTGTCCCGGATCCAGTCGTACCGAACCTCAGGTTCGGTACGACTGGACCCTCCTGGCACCCACACAGAACAGTGTCTCCAGTCACCGTACCTGAGGTTCGGTACGACTGGATCGCCGTACCTAACTCCCCCAACGTCCACCCGACGTCCTCACCCCCCCAAAACGGGTCCTGGGTCCGTGGACGGAGCACCGAGCGAGGACCTGGATGGTGCCCTCGCAGATCGTCATCGGCCGCGTGGCGATGTGGCGGTCTTGGAACGGAGGGGAGGGCTCCGTAGTAGAGAAAAGAGCAGAAGACCGTCATGATAGAATTTGGGCGTATTCGTACTTCCTATTCCTTCCTATAGAACGTGCAGGATCCTTTTCACGAAAGCTAGCCTTAGCTAGCTGGAGTTGCTCTTGCTTTAGCAAGTTAAGTGACGGGGTGGACGCACCTCAGAAACCTCAAATAATTGATTAAATCAATCTTATGGACCCCCCCCCCCCG